CAGTGGAAATGCACCTGCTGATGCAATGGTTATTGGAATATCCTGGAATTACCAGGAATATGTGTATGTGCTGTGTGAGTGTTTCTGACCAGGCTCATCCCCAAGTTTCTCTGCTCTGACTTTGCTGGATGTTCCCTGGTGTATCCAAGTGATGGTGGCTGGAGAGGCCTCTCTTCTCCCCAGGTGTGGAGCTGTTTCCCAGCTGATGGATTTCACCTGGACACACAGTCCCTGATGGAATCCAGGGAGGGGGAGTATGAAACATTAACAGCCATGGTTAAAATGCCATTTTCCAGTTGTTGCAGTGAGGAGTCCAGTAAGTGGTGCCAAGTGATGCTGTGTTTAAGAGGAAATCCCAAATGAGTGGGACAGAGGAGAAGGGGAGGCTGATTTCTGCAGGGAATGCCTGGCTCCTGTGTGGCAGCTCTGCTCACAGAGCTGCTCAGGGTGCAGGCACATGCAGTGCCCAGGGGCTTGGGAGCCACCACTGATGGGGCCCAAACCCTCTGAGCATTCCCCAGCCTTGGCCTTCCCTTCTCCCTGCTGCCAAATCCCTGCTGCCTGCCCGGGCAGGGCCAGCAGAGCGTGGGCAGATGGCCCTGGAGAGCTCCCATCTGCAGACACTGGGGTCCCACTGCCTCCCTCCCCAGCCCTCCCAGAAGCGTGGCCATCACCTTGCCTGACCCTGGCTTGGCCATCTGGTGGCCCTGTCCCATCTCCCATCAGCCCAGGCACATCCCAGCACAGACCTGCTGTGTCCTGAGGTGGCTCTGGAGCCACTGGGAGCCCCAAGGGATGAGCTCCCCGCTCACTGTCCCTGCAGTGGGGCTGTGTCTCCTGTAGGTAAGGCTTTACAAAGCCCTTCCACAGGGGTAGAAGTTGCTCATCCCATGCCCAGTTTGATGGGATTGTTGGGACCCAGGGGAGGACACAGCACAGAGAACAAGCACAGCACGTGCTGGTCCAGCTGCAGGAAGCGTGGGGAAGGTCACAGGAGCCAGACAAGGAGGGTGCAAGGTGGGGATGGGCAGCAGGGACCCAGGAGAGGCACAGATTCCCCTTTTTCAAACCCCCTCCAACTCCATGGCAGCCAAAATCTTCATCTTGGGAGATACTTTAGGAGATTTCCTTCTCCCAGTGAAGATCCTGCCCACACCTCAGCTTCATCCAGATCTTTTTTTTAATAGCAAACCCACATGGGGAAGGGTCCAGTGACAGCTCACGTGGCACCTGCTGAGAGCCCATGGAATTGGGGGGAAACCACAGTTTTATATCCCCACCCTCCCCACATCCCACCTGAATCCTGCAGCCTGTTCCAGCCCAGCCACAGAGGCAGCTTAACCCACATCCCTCCTACACAGGCTTAAGGAGCTCAGCCCCTGATGTCATTGGGGTTTGCAGCTGCAAACAGCTGGGCAGAGCTTCAGGCTCAAGTAAATAATACCTGACTGGGCTGATTAGTCCTTGGGGAGGCTTTGGGCTTTGCCTGATTTGGGACTGGGGGGTAGCAGCAGTGAAGCTCTTCAGTGCTGGGGTGTGCAAGCAGAGCCAGGGGTGTGTTTGATGTGGGTGCTGGGTCTGATTTTGATGAAGAGAACCTTCCTCAGCACTGCCTGCAGCAGGGCCAGGCCTGCAAATGGTGTGGCCAGATTTGACCAAGCTAATTTTTTTTCTGTGGCAAAGTGGTTGGTGTCTGCCCTAGCTTGAGGAAGGCTTTGGATATCCTGCAACATCCTGGAATCCAGGTGGGACACAGGCCCCAGGGCAGTGCAAGCTGGATGGGGGGCTCCAGGCACGGGGAGAAGGGCTCACACCCTGCCCAGGGACCAGGGGAGTTTCTCTGAGGTCTGGGGGAAAGGAGGACCATGGGTGGGTAGAAAATTGGTTGGAGACTTTCCCAGACTCCACCAGATGGGAATGGAAAAGTGGGAGTGCATCCTGTAGAGGGGGAAGCAGCTTAAAGGGACCAAGGATATCCCTGTGGCATGGCCTGGGGTGGGGGAAAGAGCTGCCAGGGCAGGCTGGCTCTGAAACAAGAAAATACGAGCTTCAGGAGCTGGAGACTCCAGGAGAACCAGGTGTGACATTGCTGAATCCCCAGGGAAAGGAGTTCACAGCAGGTCTGATGTGTCCTCAGGGCAGCGAGGCCACCCAGGGCCACCTGGCTGCAGACACCCCACAAGTGTGCAGGCTCTCTGAAGGTCCTGCACTGCCTCAGCCACTCCCAGCTCATTCAGGATGGAGATTGGAATGGAGATGGAGTTTGGAATTGGAATTGGATGGAGACGGAATGGGCACTGGCCACATTCAGGAGGAGATTCCCTGGGCACTGGCCACCCTGGAGCCCAGCCTACAGCTGGGCTTGGTGCAGCTACTCAGGATTTCTAAGAAATGAGTCCTTGAGGGTTAAGCTGAGTGCCCAGAGTGACCAAAGAGCTGGAAAAAGCCTCCATTTCTCCCCATCTGCACCAGTTTCCTTCAGGAACCTCTTCCAGATGGCACTGGAAAAAAAAGTTAAAATAGAGAAATTAAACAAGGGCTGATATGGGGGTAGAAGTTGGAGCATCACTTGCCAAAGGTTGAGAATTTAATTCACTTAGATTCCTTTAAAAGTCCTGTCCTTTGGCTATTTTTCCTAGTGTTTTTAGGAAAACTCTGCCTGCCAGGAATTGGTTTTAAAGTAATAAAACAAAAGTCTATGGCTCTTTTAATCTGTTAGCGTGAAAGGGAAAATACAATGAGCCAGACTCAGACAAAGTCTAACTTTTATTTTTTTTTTTTATGATTGGATTTAGCAGGAAGATTATTTCCAGCCTCAGTGGCAGGTTAATGGAGTCACAGGGGTTGGAGCCAGAGGGGCTTTATTGTGGAGCCACATCCTGAGAGAGAGGCTCAGACTTGCCAGGTGTCTCCAGTGCTCTGTGTGGTCTGGCTGTAAATGGGGAAAGGGATGGAGTGTCCAGCCCTTTGCGCTCCCAGGTGGAAGGTGGAGGTGGGCACAGAGCCCATTGGGGGATTGTTCCAGCATCCTCTGGCTCCTGGGTCAGGCTGCAAACACCCTCTGCCTGTGGGATGGGGCAGTCTCCTCCCGTGTCCCTGTCCTGGAATATCAGCCCTGGGGTTTGGAGCAGTGCTGGTGAGCCCTGGCACCAATGGGCAGAGTGGGGCTGTGGCAAGAGCAGATCCCGGGGCACTGGGAGGGAAAACATCCCTGAGGAGCCAAAACAGGGCTCCCCTGGGGCAGAGGGTGAGGGGGGTGTGATGGTGTTCCCCCTCTAACAGAGGAGAGAGAAGTAACCAGAGATTTTGTGTCCTGTGGGGAATCTTGTGCAGGAAGGAAGAAGCAGGACTGGGGTTTTGGAAAGTCTTGGATACAACCCCAAAATATTGTGGCTTTTTGCCAGGCTCAGGCTGCCAGGGCAGAAATGTAGGAAAGGGAACTGTGTGGCTTAGGGTGAGCCCTAAATCTGGAACATCCCCCAGGGCCCTGTCAGTGCCTCGGGCAGGCTGGGCTGGGGGCAGCAGAGCCTGCCAGGGCTTGGGGACCAGGGGGACAGGGTCCCCAGGGGCTGCAGCAGTGCAGGCAGGCAGCTGCCACCATCCTCTGTTGCTGCTGGGATTGGATGGTCAGGATAACACCTTCCCAACCTCACTGGCTGCGAGAGATGTCCATCACAAGACATGTATCAGAAAGAATGTACACATCTCTAGGTTTACAGTTACTGTCCTGGGAAAGTCTTTAGAAACTATGTCAACAAGATCGAAAAACTGAGTTTTTAGAGCAACACCCCACCTCGGACCAGGCTCTTCAGACTTGGGCTTGGAGTCCAGAGAGCACCCCAAAACCAGGGCAGGTGCTGGGGACCACCAGGCAGGGGACAGCAGGCCCTGTGGTAGCAGCTTGTGCCGGGCTTGGGGAGCTCCAGAAGCTGTGCACACCCTGGTACTGTTGCCCTCGGGAGTGGGAGCACCTGTGGTTGCTGCTGGAAGGGGCTGGGGAAGGGCAGCACCTCAATGTGCATCACAAAACACCTGGCATAGCTCCCAGGTAAATCCCACTCCCTGTGTGTGCAGCACAGTGCGGATCCCAGAGCATCCCTGGGGCTGGAAGGTGGAAATCAAGCTGATCTCTCTGGACAGCTGAGGGTTTCACTGCAGTTTGAGCAGACAGGCCACGCTGCCTTGGATTTCAGACAACTTCCAGCCTTTCTCTCATGCTCAGAGGGCAAACCTGTTCCCAGGGGCTGCCCACCAGGTACCTGAGGCACAAAGGAGGATCAGGAAGGGGCTTGGAGCAGCTCCCAGCTGATGTGATGGTGATTTCTGAGCTAACAGTGACACCTCCTGTTGGCACAAAATCCAGCCCGAAACCCAGCGTGCAGGCAGTGCAGCGCAGACGCCAGCAGGAGCACACGGGCTGATCACTGCTTAAATCTCTTCATTTATATCCAAAATTCCCAAGTCCCCTTCCAGGTGCAAGTGTGGCCCCACAGGGACAAACCCATCCCTGTGAACAGTGAGGGCTGGGCTGGGAGGTGCTGGCAGGGGAAAGCCTGGAACAGCGAGCATGAACCAAGGTGCTGGATGCAGACTGCTTCAGAAAGAGTTCTTTGAATTGTGATTTAGCATAGAGAGGTAAAAGCTTTGGTATGACAGCATCAAAGCTTTCACTTAGATGTGAAATGGATTTAAATCTTGGTTTCTCCTCTAAAAGCAACCTTAGAATACCCTGAGGTGGAAGGGACCCACAAGTCCCATTAAAGTTCAACTCCTGGCCCTGCACAGAGCCAACCAGGTTCAGCCTGATCAATTAATTTCCAGCAAGAATTTAGGATTGACTGTGCCAGTGCTCTCTCAGCACCCAGGGGCTCCCAGAGACGGGATCTGTCCCACTGTGACCTGTTGAAATTGAGGAGCTGTTTCCTCCACTGATTTATCCCCCAGCTGTTTTCCTGTGAATCCCTTTGCACGCCCTCCTGACTCCCCACCTGTCCTCGCAGGCCTCCAAGATGTCCTTGAAGGTGCAGACCAGCAACATCACCAACAAGAATGACCCCAAGTCCATCAACTCGCGGGTGTTCATCGGCAACCTCAACACGGCGCTGGTGAAGAAGTCGGATGTGGAGACCATCTTCTCCAAGTACGGGCGCGTGGTCGGCTGCTCCGTGCACAAGGGCTACGCCTTCGTGCAGTACTCCAACGAGAGGCACGCGCGCGCCGCCGTGCTGGGCGAGAACGGCCGCGTGCTGGCCGGACAGACCCTGGGTGAGTCCCCAGCCCACTCCTCCTGACTTTTCCCCCGTTTGGGAATGAAACACGAGAGTGTTTTGGTCAGGAGGTCATGTAAAAGTGGTCTGGTTTTTGTTTTATTTTATTTTGTTTGAAGGTTTTCAGGGGGCAGTTAAGGAAAGTCCATTCCCTCCTGCCAGGAGTGAGGATATTTTTAAAGGTTTAGGAAATTAGCATAATTGATAAAAAGCAACAATTAGGAGCACAAGTGGTGATGCAATTCCCCACCCCAGGTCAAGCCCCTTCTCTGGAGCCCCCCTTCAGCACTGGTTGTACTTTGTCTACAAAAATGTATCTTGAAGAGTTGTTTTTAAGCTTGGTACCCAGAAAGAACCAAGATAACACAGGGGTCTTGTATCCCCCCAGGGCTTGGAGCTCTGGAATTTGTTTTGGTTTTCAGCCTAGGGAAAGGCTGTGGGAAATGACTGGGAAAACTGGCCACTGATAGGATAGGCTACAGATAAATGTGCAAACAATACAGAGAACGCAGAAAAGAACAAAAAAGACAAAACCCAAACAGCATCAGTTCCAAAGGGGGTGGTGAAGGGGTGGCCAGTGCTGGGTCAGACTGGGATGTTGGATCTGCAGAGCAGGTCAGGGATGACCCAGAGTGATAAGGCAGGGTCAGCAGGATCCATGGGCAGGCACAGAGCTGGAGATCAGCATTCCCACAGCACCCCAGGCAGGGTCTGAGTGCTCCCAGCTCCTGTGTAGGATGGGATCAAAGGCACCACACGTGACATTGTGGCCCAAAGCCTCAGATCTGGGCTGTGACTGTAGGAGCCAAACAGCAAAACCACAGTTCTGGATCATCCCATGGCCTTGTCCTGGGACTGCTGGGGAAGAACAAGGGTGGGGAAAGACATTGCCTGGTATCAAAGACATGGATAGGATAAGGGGGAATGGCATTAAACAGAGGGCAGGGATAGATGGAATATTGGGAGGGAATTCCTCCCTGTGAGGGTGATGAGGCTCTGGCACAGGGTGCCCAGAGCAGCTGGGGCTGCCCCTGGATCCCTGGCAGTGCCCAAGGCCAGTCTGGACAGGGCTTGGAGCAGCCTGGGACAGTGGAAGGTGTCCCTGCCATGGCAGGGGGTGGAACTGGATGATCTTTAAGGTCTTTTCCAACCCAACCCATCCTGTGATTCAGTGATTCCCTTCCAGGACCAGGCTCTACCCTCAGCCTGTCAGGAGAGCTGATCTCCAGAGCAGCTCAGCCTAACTTCAGCCAGCAGATGCTGAATGAGAGAACTTCCCCCCACCTCTGCACTGCTGTGGGATGAGAACTAACAAGCAAATCCCCTCAGCTGCATCTTTGCTTTCTCAGATTGCTCTGAGGTGTCATATTCTGAGGTGGTCTTGTCACCAGCTCCAAGTGGGAATTGGAACTGGGGAGAGGATTTTTAATGAAAGATGGTGATTTCCAAGCCTGCTGTGGGCAGTGGGTACCCAGGAAAGCAATTTGCAGCCCATTCCCACCCTGCTGCTGGCACAGCAGCCTGACACAAGGAGTTGTGCTGGGGCCATGCTGCTTCCTCTGAGGTTTATCCAGGTACCAGAGACTTCTGCTCACTTCTCTCAAGCTCCAGAGAGCAGAGCTGCAGACTTGGCAGAGCTCAGCATGCCAAGAGTGCTTCCAGCCCAGGTGTTTCCCACGTGTGCAGCCTGAGATAGGATGGAGGGGGCCTTGGGGAACCCTTGTGATGCTCCAGACAGATAGAGGAGATGTGGCAAGAGGCAGGGAGCACCTGCTCAGTTAGCTGAAGAGAGAGATGTTTGCTGTGAGAAAAACCTCCTCTCAGAAAACCCCTGAAACCTCTCATCTCTGATGAGAGGAATTCCAAAAAGGCCTGGAATTCCAAAAGAAGGCAGAAGGGCTGTGTGGTAGCTGGGTGTCCTGTACATGTCCTGGACAAGGTGCAAACTCAGCTGCCTTTGATCTGCCTGCCCCTCATGGGCCAGTCTGAGCACAGGAGAGCTGCTCAGGCTTCCCCTTGCTGCTCCTGGCAGTGAGCAGCAGGGTGCAGGAGAAGCCAGCACAGAGGAGCTGTGCTGAGACAAGGCTGGAAGCTTTTCTCTAAAGAGAGGAGGGATGGCCATGTGGGAATGTGGAGAGGGAGGACAGGATGGGACTGCCAGGGGACACTGCAGACACCCTGCTGAAGGGACTGTCCCTGCAGGTCCTGGCAGCCTCTGCAGTGCCTTCTGCAGCCACCCCAGGCACTGCAGGAGGTTGCTGCCCTGGGGAGGCACTGGAAGCTGGATCCACACCATCCCCTGCCCCTGCCATGTGGACTGCACAAAGCACAAGCTCCCCACTGAGCATGGAACAGGTGCCTGGGTATGAGCAGGAGGGATCAGTACTGCCTTGGGGTGGGCAGATGGAGTCAGTGATGCAGAGGAGGGAGCCAGAATGAGAATGAGATGCAAAATCTGTCCAGGCTGATGTTCCTGCTGAGCTCTTGTTTCTCCTTTTTCACTCTCAAGGGAATCCTGTGGGATCTGACTGCCCCTCACCACCAGAGCTGAGAGTATGAATTCCCTGCTGCTGTCAGGTGCCAGTGAGGGCTCCACAGGGCTCTCTGTAGCAGTGGGGACCAGCAAATGGAGCTAATTGTTGTCCTTCTCCCCTCCTGGGCTCCCAGTGCCTCTCCCTTGGAGGGTGCTGCCCAGCCTGGTGCTGTCAGGGGCTCTCCAGGAGCAGTGAGTGGCCAGATGCACCCTGGCAGCAGAAAGGGCTCTCAGCCAGGGAGCTGCAGCTGGGCAGGGCTGTGTCCTGGGCTGCAGCGAGGCAGGATTGCTCCCTCTGTTCCCCTGCAGTGCCAGCAGCCATGGTGGCTCAGCAGGCTCTGAGAGGTGACCCTGTGTGAAATGTTCCTGCTGGCAGCAGCTGGCCCTGGAGCCATGTGCAGCCCTCTCAGCATCCAGGCTCAGCCCTCCCCTGCAGCTGGGAGCTGTCCTGTGCCCTCTCAGCATCCAGGCTCAGCCCTCCCCTGCAGCTGGGAATGGTGGGGTGGAGGAAGGCAGCAAGGGAAGCACAGGCTCTGGTGGGAATGTGCCTCCACTGTGCCATGGCTCAGCCAACCACACCACACCACATTTGTTGTTCAGGCTCAGAAAGAGGCTCCAGCTTCAGCAGGGATAAGGTCTCTTGACAAACCCTAAAAGGCAGCCAAGGAATTGGACAGCAAGGCCCTGAGCAGTGGGAACGTGTCCATGCTCCTCCAGAGTCGTGTGCAGCCTGTGTTCCTCCTGCTCAGCTCCTCCCAGCAATGCTGCAGCCTTCCTGTGCTCCTGAAGATGGTTTTCCTGGTTAATACCTAAGTCAGCAGGATGTTCCTTTGGCTCACTTTGTAGGCTCTTTATTTTGATGGTGTGTGGACCCACCTGTTCACATTTCCTCATAAAATCCCTTCATGAAGCATAAAAAAAATACAAGTTTTAAATGACCTGATGTGCTAAAAGGTTGGCTGGATGTCCCCTAAGGTGCAGGTAGCTGAAAGAAAGGCATCATTGAAGAAATTCCTCCCTGGCAGGGTGGGCAGGCCCTGGCACAGGGTGCCCAGAGCAGCTGGGGCTGCCCCTGGATCCCTGGAAGTGCCCAAGGCTGGATGGGGCTTGGAGCAGCCTGGGACAGTGGAAGGTGTCCCTGCCGTGGCAGGGATGGAATGGGATGTGCTTTCAGGGAAGATTTCTTCCAACCCAAACCATCCTGGGATCTTTTTCTCTCACCACATCTCTGGTCCATCCCAATGCTCCAGTGGGGTGTCACAGAGCTGCAGGATGTACCCAGCCCCTGGTTCTCTCTGGGGGCCCAGGTCCCTCTGGGAGGGTCAGGACAGAGCCCTGAGGACCAGTCTGTTCAGCAGGTGACCCAGCTGTGATGCAGAGTCTCCTGAACCCACCCAGCCTTCTCCAGCAGCACAGGTGTGGCTCCTCCGAGCTCCTGGAGATCACTGGCCTCACCAGCTGATGAAGGAGGTTCTTAACCAACCCCATGGACTCAGCAGCTGCTCTTCCACTCCCTCCTTCCACTGCTTGCATTTTTGAAACATGAGTGTTTCTTTTACATAAATACTCCTTTCTCTTTATTCCTGCTGTGTCTGAGGGCCGTGGTTTTGTGGTGGGCTTGGCAGTGCTGGTCCACATGAGGAAATCCTGTCCTGCTCAGCTCAGATCTGCCATGCCCAGAGGTCTGACACCTCTTCATAAACATAGGAAGAACCAACAGGGTTTAGGGCTGATTGGAGAAGGCAGCAGGACATTTGCCACCGCTCACCTCTCTGAGTTCTGGCTCCACACCCCATGTTGGATTGCCTGGCCCAGCATTCCTCATTATTCCCCAAGGATCCAGGGCTGGGTGCTCAGCAGTCAGCACTGTGCAGCAGGTTTGGATTTTGCCTCATCACACCAAAATCTCCCAAGAAAGCTGTCCTGGATTTGTGTGTGTGGAGTGCACCATGTGCAGGGTGCTGACAGCTCAGGGAATGGCGAGTGGCTCTGGAAAAAGGAAGAGGTTTGCCAAGTGCAAGGGTTTATTCACCTTCCTGTGGAGCCCCCAGCAGGCCCCAGATGTGCCAGAAGCGGGTGGGCTTGGCTGGGGGGTGTGGAGGAGTTCCTTTCTCCCTGGCAGGGCTGTGTGCCTCCGCCCCAGCTCCGTGCCCAGGTTGAGGTGGGGGCGGTCAGGGACGGGCAGTGTCACAGCTGCGTGTCCCTTCCTTGCAGACATCAACATGGCCGGGGAGCCCAAACCCAACAGACCCAAAGGGCTGAAGAGAGCAGCTTCTGCCTTGTACAGGTAGGTGTTGACCACAGTGGGTGAGGTCTGTGGGCTGGTGTTTGCCCTCCAGCACCCCCCTGAGCTCCTGCTGCCTGCCCCCAGCAGCCTGGGCACTGCTGCTGAGCTTCTCCCAAGGGCTCCTTTCCCTGGCAGTGCCCCTCAGGCAGTGGCAGCCCCAAGGTTGGCCAGTCCTGGGGTGTTGTGGGAGGTTTCCTGGGTCCTGTGCAGGAGCTGGGCCTGGGGAGGGGTGGGCAGTAGCTGCCTTAACCACACCACAGGAGGGGAAGCAAAAGGAGCCAGGGAGCAGGAGAGGGTACAGAGGTGCTGAGTGGGGGGAAAAAACGGGGAACAGGGATAATTCAGAGAAAGAGAAGAATGATTATCAAAGGGAGAGAAGAAGGTAAGGAAGTGGGAAGCCCTTGGGGTGAGAGATGGAAGTGAACCAAGGAGGTGGCTGGGGGAAATCCCAAGGGAGCCTGTTCTGAGGAGCACAGCCAAGGGATCAAGGGAGCAGGAGGGGCAGGTGGGACACAGAGAGGTCTGAGGCACATGGAGCATGTTACAGGTGCCAGTGAGCCCTCAGCTCGAGAGAATTTATCATTACTTCCACAAGAGGTGAAGATTTTCATTTAAGCCCCAGACTCTGGAGTCAGGGGAATGAGGGGAGAAGCTCATTAAGTTCTTGCTTCTGGTTGCAGAAAGGGAAACTTGAGAAGGGATATCAGGAGTGCCCTGCAGGTTCAGGAACCCAAAACCAAATAACAGGGTCCCCAAATGTGTTTTATTTATAAATTGTCATAATTTTGATGTCAGTCTCATGGTGAGGAGACTGAGGGGCTGAGACAGGAGTTGGAGTATGTAAGGTTGGGAGGAAAAGACTAAAATCAGTATTGGGGTTATAGGTGGGTGTAGCAAAAGGGGAATTCACAAGAACTGGAGATTTTTCCAGAAAAAGAAGAAAAAAGTGTGAGGGGTGAAGAAGACCTTGTGGTTCAGACTGAGCCATGTGGTCCTGCACTGCTGTGGTGTGGAATGGCAACTCCTGGTTAGAAAATGCAGCTCTGGCAGAGCCAGAGCCCCAGCAGCCTCCCAGCACCCACAGGGCATCCCTGTGTTCCTTCCAGGAGCCTCTCTCCCCCTGTGCAGCGTTCAGGGACGTGTCTCCTCCCACCCTGGGACACTTTGGCCTTTCCCAGGACGTGGCTCTCTGCATTTCCAGGGGATTCACTTGAAGGGAAGGAGATGGGAGCAGAGATGACACAGATCCTGCTCTTCAGCTGCACGTGGCCTGCTCATGTGGGGCTGGGGCCATAACACACATCAGCTCCTTCCATACATCTTGCACTAACGAGCTTTTCATTTACTGCTCAGCCGTGCCTGGAGCACTAATCCCTTCCTCTGGAATGACCAATATTTCAGACTTCCAGACTGCTGAGAGAGATGTTTGCTTCCTCCCACAAATATGGATATGCTAAAATATGGGCCAGAGAACTGCACTGCTCTGAGCTCCAGCAATATTTCATCCCAGACTGGCTGTCAGATAAAAACTTTGCCATCTGGACTGGCAGAACTTACGATATCACCTGGAAAGCAGGGATCCCAGGTTTGCAGCGAGCTGTGGTTACAGCTTCCCAAACCACCATCAATTTTACTAAATGTTAGACTTCAAAAATCATAGCACTGTAATTTATAAGAAGTGCTGTGTTAAACACAGCAGAGGATTTTTTCCAAAGGCTGGATTTTGCTTTGCCTCCCTCCAAGTCTGCATGGGAGGGTCGAGGGGAAGGCAGGGCAAGGGAAATTCCATTTTGAACATACAGGAAGCAACAGTTGGGACATTTTGATCTACCCACCAGCCTAGGTGGGTGTCCAGGTGTTTAACAGAAACCCTTGGGGATGTAGCCTCCCATGCACCTCCACCCAGGCTCATGCCACCATCAGTTTTCTCAGGTGTCTCCACACGAGGCACCTTCACTTGCTGCCATCACTGCTGTCCTCCACCCTTGGATCTCTGCTCCTGCCTCCCTCCCTCTGGCACTTCCCAGAGCATCCCTTTGCACAGGGAAGGTCCTGCCTGGCATCCTGGCCACCACCACAGGCGTGGCTGGGCAGTGAGCTGCTGTCACCGTGTCCCCAGGGAGTCACTCGCTGCCTCTCCAAATCTGCCTTCTGGCAACACCTCCTTTTACCTGCCCAGAAAATGTCTGGGCAGGATTTCCTGGGGCATGTGGGGCCACGTTCAGGTCACTGCCAGAGGTCCCACCCAGATGCTGTCAGCTGGCTGTGAAGGGAAGGTGTTGGAGGCACAAATCTCTGTCCTGCCCTGCAGAGCTGGGGCTAAAGCTGGCCAAAAGGACAGAGAGGATAACCTGAGCAAGAGCTGCTGGGTGTGTGCAGCTCAGTGGCCCCAGGAGGGGTCTCTGAAGTGGTGACAGGGACAAACCAGTGCTGACTGACTGTCATAGGCAGTGAACACTGGCATCCAGCCCCTGTTGCACCCAAAGCTGGTGTCAGCCCACCCCAAACACCCCTCTCAGACCCTGTGCTGGAGCAGGGACATCCCAGAGCCAAATCCACATGGACAGGGCTGAGAGCAGCCTTGGGGCAGAGGGGGAGGTGAGCAGTGATGTCCCAGCCTACAGCAGCCCCAGCACTTTGGGAATGCCAGGCTTCATCACACATCCCTTTATTTCCCACTGCCTTGGCCGTGTGCAGGAGGAAGGAGTCACACAGCTCCACAAGATCATGTTTGATCAATGCCACATTTTCCAAGCAGCTTTCCAGCAGGTATTCCTTTCCCTGCTGCAGTAATTCCATGACAGAAGGGTTGGAGCTGAGCTCACCGTGGCACTGATTAGCAATATCAGGCAGTAATTAAAGCACAGATGCTCAAATGCACATTTGCTGTCCAGGTCCAGGCTCAGAAGTGGCCCCACAAATGTGGTGGAGAGGCAGCACCTGCAGACAATCACCCCTCAGTTATGAACACTTGCATTTTGAACCTGAGGCAGCAGAAATGTTTGATTGCTAAAGGCTAACAAAGCAGAGGCAATGCATCAGGAGGTGGAAGCATGGCATTCCTTGAAGCCGTCCTGCTTTCCAGCCTTTCACTCTGGTTGCCCCTGCTTTGTTCTGAAAGGGTGCAACGTCACCAGCTGACTGAAAAATGGCAAAAACAATTCCTGTGCAGAAAGACAGAGCTGCCAGGTCACTGAGGAATGATCCCTCAGTCTCAGGATGGCTCATCCCACTCGGAGCCCTGGAGCCAGGGGGAGATCCCACTGTCTCCTCTTGCCTGGGACTGGGGAGAACGCTGGCTCTGCTGGAGAGAGCCAGAAGCACTTCAGCAGAGCCTGTCAGGATTGAAAATATTACAAAATTGCAGCAATTTCATTTGAGTTGCATCTAAGGAGGGGGAAAAAATTGAAGAAGAAGAGTCTGACAGCGTAGAAGCATCCTACTTCAATTTTCCTTTCAAATGGCTTCCTATTTTGATGGTATTTTATATTTACTGGATTCAAACAGACCTGAAGTCAAACATCCTCAGTGATCAAAGTGAATTGGCAGGCTGAGGGGAGCTATTTTCTTGGTGAGTTTTTGTATCTCCAGGTTTCACCTCAGGATGAACAGAAATCCCGTTGCCCATCAGGAAAAGCTCCATGGAGGTGCCTGGATCCCTGCTCCCCATCCCCTCAGCCCCACAAACAGCTGGGCTCATCCCAGCAGCATCTCCCTTTCGTCCAGAAGAGGGAATAAATGAACACACCTCATGCAGTGGTTGGGACAGAGGCTGTGGGATATTCCTGTCTCCTCTGAGCCCAGCAGGAATGTTGGCTACAACTCGGGTCAGAAGGGGAGGGCGCCTGAAAAGAATCTGGAATTCATCTGTCAGAAATGGCCCTTTTCCACCCTGCAGTGGAGCCTGGGAGGGTTTGTGGTGATTACACTCTACAGTCACATCTCCCCAGCAGTCTCCTTGCTGAGCAGGGACACCTGCACTGCCCATCCCATCCTCAGCCCTCTGGGAATGCCTCAGGCAGCAGCTGCTCAGGGATAAGGCCCAGCTTTATGGAATATCTCCTCACTGAAGTCCCCATGGCAGGGCATGACTGGGGCAGGAGGTGCACAAGCCACCTCCACATCCTCAACCCTGGCACCAACTGATGCCCCAAAGCAGCTCTGGTGTCTGCAAGCATCCACAGGTGCTCAGCTCCCCCCAGGCACAGGCTGGGTCTCCAGAGGCTGCCATGGGGAACCCAAGGAGCCTGGAAAAACCATCTTCCAGAAGCCAGGCAGTGACACTAAACACTGGCTGGGAAGCTCAGTGCCAGGACAGGCAGGACAGCCCTCCTGGGTCCTGTTGCTGGAGATTTCAGCCTCCTCAGGGCTGAGCTCCCTTGGGATACTCCTTCACAGAGAGTTTCCCTTATCTCAGTTCTGTGTCAGGAAGGATTCTCCAAAGGCTCCTTAGGCTCTTGTTTCTCCTGTTTATTAACACATAATAATGGCAGGTCTTCCCCAGACTTTCTGCTCAGGTTCAACCCACCATCACCTGCCTCAAAAGGCACAAAATGGCCTTGAAATACACAGCTCTTTTATCTTTATACTTATCCTTACCTAATTAACAATAGACATGTTAATTATTTTTCTTACTGACCCAATGACCCCTTACCTGTGTGCTGCACTGTGGCATTCTCCATCCAATCACCTACTGCTACCCAAAAACCTCTAGAAGAAGATGAAGAAGAAAGAAGGACAAGAGACAACACCCTAACTCCTCCATCTTGTCTTCTGTTCTCTAAACGAGTTTAAGCTTAAACTAACTTTTTCACCCAGTGACTTAAGAAAACTGACTAATTTACACACTTACACTTTTAGTTTTTCTATTTAACATTTTTTTAACATTTGACATTATATTTAACATATTTAACATTATTTTACCAGTTATTTTCATGGTGTTATATGAAATTCAACGTTTTCTTGGATGTCAGAGCCAGGTATCAGAGATAAGGGCACACACTCAGTGCCTCAGACTCCAACAGGTCCAGCCTGGCATTCCTGGGACAAAGCATGCTTCCCACCAGTCAGCCACACACTGTCCTTGCCACGTCTCTCCAAGATGCAGGACACCAAATTATCTCCCAGCTACACACTTGGGTGCTCATCCTTCCCTGTCCCCAGCTCCTCGTGGCTGAGTCTTTCCCTCTCTCCCATCAATCTCCCATTCTTTTCAGCCACTCCAGGAGGCAGGACAGACTTTTCTGTCTGGGGCTGCACTAATTCTGTTTGTTTGGAGCAGAGAGGAGATCACCAGCATCATTGATTTAGCCAGTGTTAATTGAGCCTCAGCACACCAGGGAAGGGTGCCCTGGTTTGTGCTGCCTTGTGAAAAATCAGCTGCAGCAAGGGGAAAAGTGTTACTGGGTCTCCTGGGACTGGGAATGCTCCTACTTCGGGTTAAAATGCAGCTCAAGCTTAAGAACACAGGATGTGGTCATTGCCTGGCTGAGGGGAGAGAGTTTACATCAGTAAATATCCCCATAAATATCCCCTTTGTCCCCGTTTTTCTCCACACGCATCTTACTGCTCCTCCTTGAGATAAGCAGGAGGACAGCTGCCAACATCACCGTCCCCAGTGCCTGCAGCCCCCCGGGTTCCTCCTGGGCCCAGCCCGCCTCCCTGCTGAGTCCCTCCTGAGGGGGATCAGTTTATTTATCCTCGCTGGCCCTGGGGCGCTCACCGGGCAGCGAGGGAGCAAAAATAACAAATTACCAGCGCTAATTAACCCCTGATGCCCTGACTGTCTCTGCAGTGGCTACGACTTCGATTATGACTATTACAGAGACGACTTCTACGACAGGTGAGGCGCCGGCCCGAGGGGCTGTGTGGGGCAGGGAGGGC